CCGACGACGACGACGACGACGACGACGACGACGACGACGACGACGACGACGACGACGACGACGACGCAAAGCCGAGCCGATCGACGGTCGACGGGGGCGCCGTCTGGCGCCAGGGCGGCGCAGGCGGGGCTGTCACCTCCTCCTCCTCCTCCTCGTCCTCCTCCTCCTCGTCCTCCCCCTCCTCCTCCTCCTCCTCCGTCCCTCCTGCTCCTCCTCCGCCCTCTCCCTCTCCCTGTCCCTCCTCCTCCTCCTCCTCCTCCTCCTCCTCCTCCTCCTCGGTACTCCTCCCCCTCATCCTCGTGCTTCTCCTCCGGCAAAGGCGGCCCTAGGGGTAGGCCCAAGGGGTAGCCCTAGGGTAGCCCTAAGGGTAGGCCCTAGGGGTAGCCCTAGGGTAGCCCTAGGGGTAAGCCCTAGGGGTAGGCCTAGGGTAGCCCTAGGGGTAGGCCCTAGGGGTAGGCCTAGGGTAGCCCTAGGGGTAGGCCCTAGGGGTAGCCCTAGGGTAGCCCTAGGGGTAGGCCCTAGGGGCCCTAGGGGTAGCCCTAGGGTTGCCCTAGGGATAGACCCTAGGGGTAGGCCTAGGGTAGCCCTAGGGGTAGGCCCTAGGGGTAGGCCTAGGGTAGCCCTAGGGGTAGGCCCTAGGGGTAGGCCTAGGGTAGCCCTAGGGGTAGACCCTAGGGGTAGGCCTAGGGTAGCCCTTCCTTGGGTGATCTATAAGAACAGCGGCCGCTGTTGGGCCGGCGGCCTCCTGTCTCAAATGGACACGGGCCGCGGCGGCGCGGACGGCGGGTCCTGTTCAAGATGAATGCTGCTGGGCGTCGTACGCAGCCTTTCCGTGCCCATCTCGCTCGTGCACAGCTCTGGCTGGCCCCCCGTCTGCACTGCCCCCGCCTCGAGGCTCCCATTCCCGGCCTCGGGCTCCCGAGGCCGGGAATGGGCAGCCTCGGCGACGGCGGGCTTGCGCGGGCCGCCGGCGCGGCACGACGCACTGGAAGCGGGGGCGCTCACGCGCGACCGTGCGCGGGCAGTTGGCGCGCAACTGTCGGCGAAGACGACCACACTTTTTTTTGTTTGTTTTGTTTTGTCTGCGTCGCTTATGTCTTGGTTGACCCAAGAGGGGGTCCAGCTGAAAGAGGGTGGTGCAATAGGTTTGGGGCACCTGTATTGCAAATGTACTGCGCCAGAGAATTCTATTATACACTGTATTGCAACTGACGTATGGCACGCGGAAACCCAGCAACACATCTGCGCACGGGAATATAGTGCACGCCCCAAATCTACTGCAACCCCGCAAGTCGATTGCACCACCCCTGTGTCACTGGAACTGGAGAGCCCGGAATCGAATCGATAAATCGGATCGGCGATCGAAATGAATCGGATCGGCGGAAATCGGCAGCCGAGTCGGGAAAAGTCGAATCGGCAGAAATCGGCAGGCTAAGATGCCTCCAGTAAGAAATCGGAACCCAAATCGGAATCCTAAGTCCGATCGAATCGCAATCGGAAGCAATCGAAATCGAATCGAATCGAATCGGAGGAATCGAAACGAGCCCTGCTGGAACCCTATTTGGCAACCAGGCTCAAGCCGTGGCGAAACGTCCCGGCTCGCCTATAGCCCCACCGAATAATATTCTAATAACCACTTGTGGTTCCCAAGATCTGTTCTTAGAACAGTTCTGGCTGAGTCTGTCTTCTTTTGACACGTCGGGCTTCTGTTCTAAAAACACTGTTTTAGTTGGTCGAACGTGTCTGCGTTCTGACATTATTTCGTGGTAAGCCTATAGGAATGCCGGGACGGTCGGTCCCTGCTCAACTCGAGTAAGGGATCGATCACAGAACTGGGTCACCCCAGAATGGATCTTCTCGTCGAGCGCACGGAAACGAGCCGCAGAATGCTCGTAGATAGCTCCACGCATTTCTGCAGATTCGACGAACAAGTGAATTTTGGTGTAAACCAATTCTGTAGTCGATCCCCTACTTTTGAGCAGGGACCGGCCGTCACGGCATTCCTATAGTCCTACCACGAAATGTTCTTCGAACCCAAACATGTTCTAAAAACAAAAACAATTCTCTTAGGACATGAGCCCGAGGTGCTAAAAACAGGACAGGCCCAGCCGGACATGCTCTGAGAACAGTTCCTGGGAGCCACAAGTGGTTCTTAGAACGTTGCTTGGTAGGCCTAGAGTGGAGCCAGGACGCTTCGCCACTGCTTGAAACTCGATCGACAGACAGACACGTGCAGTCCCCGCCTCCGATTTGGACGCCCGAAATGGGTACGGAAACAATGGGCACAATGCCCAACAGCACATGTTGTCCCAAACCGACAGCGGCCGCTGTTGGGCGGGCAGCCTTCTGTCTCGAATGGACACGGGCCGCGGCGGCGCGGACAGCGAGTCCTGTTCAAGATGAACAGGAACTGCTGTTGGGCATCGTACCCAGTCTTTCCGTGTCCATTACGTTCGTGCAGACACTCGCGTCGGGCGAAAGGGGGGGCCAGCAAAAGGGGGGTTTGAGAATCAGCTCACGTAGCTGACTTTCCCGGCTCCTCCCGGCGCCGGGAGGCGGCCATGTGTCGAGGAATGGGCCCCTCGGCAGGGCCGAAACCGGCTGCATGCAGCAGATTTCGTACCCCCCCCTTTCCCAATCCCCCCCTTTCTGAAGGGGCCCTGGGACACACACACACACATAAATACACACAAATATAACAGGATCCCCCGCGTTCTCCAATATCATCTGGGTCTTTGTCTTCCCCGTGCCACTTCCCATGTTTTCTCCTATTTTCCAATATTTCCGAATCTTTTCTGTGTTTTTTTCCCTCCTGACTTTCCCCTGGCCCGAGACTTCGTGGGCCCTAGAAACGACAAGGCAATTTTTTTACCGGTTCCGTTTTGCCGTTTTTTTGCAGGTTCCGACGCCGTTTCTTACCCGTTCCGTCGCCGTTTTTTGACCGGTTCCGGCTCCGGTTCCAATCCTGGAACTGTTTTTTTGCCCTTTCCGGTCGCCGTTTCTTTGCCGTTTCCATTTTCAAGGGGCATTTTTTTGGGGAAACGCTGAAAAACGGCCCTGCCGTTTCCGGGGCCCACAAAATCGGGGAGACGTAAGACCCGGGTACGGGGGACTCGGGTTGGCCTAACGGGGGCCCTCTGAAAATGCCGAAATCCAATCTGAAATTTGACGCGGGCTCTCGCTGCAGACATCCCACAAAAACCGGACCGTCAACTCCTGGACGCGCTCGTCAAAACACTTCGGCTGACCCGAGTTCCGGCTTACTCGGGTCTTACGCTCCCCCGACTAGGGAGCCCACAAAGGACGTACGCGCCCAGCTATGTACATGAACACGGCCCCTCGATTCGCGAGACCGGCCGCGTGATACGAACACTTGTGCAATGCGTGCTCTCGAAACCAGCGTGGATTCATGTACATGTACGTCCTTCTTTCGCTCCTGACCGACAAAGGCCCGAGACACCTGGAAGCCCGGCGGGGGGCGGCCTCGGCGACGGCGGCGCCGGCCGGCGGCGCCCTCGCGGGGGCCTCGCGCCGTGCCGCGGGGGCGCGCTCCGCGGGCGCCTCGCGCTCCGAGGACGGGCGCCTCCCCCCCGACCGCTCCTCGCTCCCACGAGGCTGGTGTTTACCAGCCTCAAACATATCCCTATCCCCAAGATTGACATGCCACAGAGCGATGACAATCTTAGGGATGGCGCGGTCAAGAACAAATAAGATGTGGGAATCCCCAAGATTGGCATGGTGATGAGGAGATGCCCAGCATAGGGACAGGGATATGTTCCAGGCTGGTAAGTTGTGCTGTTTGAGTCGCCCCGTTAGCCCAGGAGGAGGAGGAGGAGGAGGAGGGGGGGGTGGAGGAGGAGGAGGATGTTTTTTTGTTGTTTTTTGTTTTCTGTTTCGTTATTTTTAATATAAAAAGCATATGGACAAATAGATCGGCGATGACCCGGGCTATCCCAGAGGAAGGGGGCCGGCCGATGACCTGACCTTGGCGCTGTGGGCAACCCTGCATGTGCCCGCGCCCCCGCCCCCCCCCCCCCGGACCTGCACAACCGGCAAGGTTGGGTTATCCCGGGGGGGGGGGGATGGGGGGCAAGCCCGACAGCCCGGGCTATCGCCAGGCCCTAAAAAAGCAGTCTCCACTTCCCACCGTCTACACAAGGCGAAGCCAGGACGAGGATTATATCGATGAGGAACAAGAACAAGAGTCTCCGAGAACCGGCGGCTCTGGACGATGTCCCGGGCGCCGCGGCCTTCTCAGGGCGTTCCAGAACGGATTCATCCTCGTCCCAGCCCCGCCCGGCTACATCCACCACCGTGCCGCTGGGCACTGAGTGGAGTGTCCTCGGGTCCCTTCGAATTCTCCTGATGGTTCAGGTTCAGGCTCAGCCTGCGTGCCAGCTCCGCGGGAGCGGTCCCCTAAAGGGCAGGCCGTGCTCAAAACTATATACGCTGCGTGATATGCAGCTGCTGCGTGCACTACAACAGAATACTGCGCATATGTCACGTGATCCCAAATTCTACCCTACGTGTTCTCCAAATGGAATGCTGTGAATATTGTCAAGGGCCCGTAGCCTCCATATTCCCAGATCTCCCGGACCCCCTGTCGTGAGACTCCTGGAGCTCTTGCCGCGTGCCCTCCCCGCAGGCCAGGAGCGGAAAGCTGGGTAAGGAGGTCGCAAAAACACGGTCCAAGAGGGCTCCGAGCCTGTTCGAGAGGGCCGCAAGACGGCCTCAAGACGGCCCAAGAAACTCCCTGGACGCCCGAAGAGGGCTCCGAGAAGAACCCTCAGAGGGCCTGAAGATCTCGAAAAGAAACTATGTTTTCTCTATGTGTTCAACGTGATGTTGGGTTTGCTCGCGTTTTCGGGACTCAAACACTACAAGGCGGTGCCAGAAGCCTCCAAGACCTGTACGGTTTTGCCCTCCACGCAAGCCTCCTGGTACCAACAGGCATAAAGTTAAGGTCCTCCCTGGTTAAATCTGTTTGAACGGCCGCATCCCCCACCCTTGATTAGAACTGCCACACATCATATGCTTCCTTCCCGCGGCACGAGCTGCAATCCAACTGCCCTTGCGAGTCAGCTAAGCAGTGTCGGCCAAAGCTGCGGAAAGCAAATTACGGGCAACGCACGTACATGAAAAGGAAGTAGAGGACAGTAGCCTTGCGTGAAGGCTCAACGACGAGGCCCGAGCGTGCTCCCAAACAAAAAACCCATGGCGACAGTAACACGGCGCCCCTTCCTGAAACGACTGATCTTGATCTGTTCCTCCCCCCCATGCCTTCCCCTCCGCATCCGGACTCTCGACTCGCCCTCGCCCGTTCTCCTGAACACCACCATCGACGTTTCCTCTTTCTCCCGTGGGGCATCCTCCGGCTGCTCTTCCCCGCGAACTTTGGGGGGCGGAAAGATACGGATACGTGTTGTCCCCGGACCTCTCTTGGGGTGCGTTCTGACCAGAATTTCGAGGCGAATCCAGCGGTGACGACGAGGATTCCCCAGGAGGACCAGGAAAGGCCGAAAACGAAGGGAGACAACACGTATCCGTATCTTTTTCTCCCCCGCGAACTATCGATCTCCCTTTCCCCTGCTATATTTCTTCGGAGTCCCTGCCAGCCGTGTCCAGGGGGCTGCCGGCGCCCGTGGCGAGGAGCTCGTCGTCCTGCCGGCGCCGACTGCCAAAGAACACCCCCTTCCGCTGCTCCCCCCCCGCCTGCTGAGGGAAGGTGAAGGAGGGAGCATCGAGGCAGCAATAGGGATGAGGAAGTGGACGAAGAGGGAGAGGAGGGATGACGAGGAGGACGATGATAGATTGGTCCTTGTTTTATCCACTCCCCACTTCCTGTGCAGTACCTGGTCATTCGGCCCGAGAGGGACGCCCACTGACACCACGAGACTGTCTTTTACCATCGAGCCACCGTCAACGGTCACTGCTGCTGCTCACTGAGGGCGCGAGCGCGTCCCCTCAAACCTCCAGCCTTGGCGCTGCATCGACAACCGTGAAATATGCAGAACCAATCGGTGCAGGTAGCTACTCGTTGGCTGTGCCCGGCTGCGCCCCGTAGTGATCTCACATATTCGTACGGAAGATTCACATTCAGATTCCAACAATCGCGGTCTCCCAAGCAGAAACGACCATCAGGAGCATCAGACGCCATCATATTCGTTCTGTGATGAAGGAGGCAAGCTCCGAAAGGCGAGGGGGTAGCATGCACACGCGATGTGCACCGACAGACATATGGCTGCAGTTGTATCCTCTCGATAACAAACATGTTCGACACGCAAAGTACGGTGTCGACCCATCATCGAGGCCGTCCAGAAGCGGTACACGATGAGCACGTGCCGACCGATATCATCGCATGCGCTGGGCAGGCATGCTGGCTTGATGTTGCCTCTACAAGAGGCGGTCACCGCAAACGGGGGCTCTGCGTATTGACTGTTGCGTGTCTACGGCTCGCGAGCACACTTTGCTTGCAGTGTGTCACATGCACTTCGCCTGAGCGCTCCGATGGCCATCGTAGACAAGCGTTTGATTATCAATGATACTCGAAAGCTTCAGTATATGCGCATCGACACAGGGCTCTCGCGTGCCCACCATGAGCGTGCCACCAGTGCCGTGCCTGCGACAACCGCGCCCCAGCAAGAGCAGATACGTACTTGAACTTCACCTCGCTGCGTGCGCCGTGCTGGGAGGCAGCTCCTGGAAGCTCATCGCTGGCACGAGTCGGGAATAGAATGTCCGATCAACAAGCTGCATCCATCCTAAGCCCGATGACACGTAGGCTGATAACGGGTTGAACGGGGCTTCAATGGGAATCCGACCAAACCAGGCAATATGTTTTGGCTTGATTTGCCTCCAGGAGACAATAGGACCAAGTCAGAATCCAATCTCGAATGAGATGCAACCGATTTAAGCCATAGGGGTCGAGGAAGTTGGAAGCATAGGGGAACGAAGCATCGACGACGACGGCGACCACGACGACGACTACGAGGATGACCGCGATGAAGACGACGTCGAAGCCCACAACAACGACGGCGACTGAAAGCTCGTTTGCGTGGAACGCCGGAGGGCAGGACCGTGTCTGGCGAAAACGACACGACGACACGGAAGCTTATCGCGAAGACGACGACGGCGACGTCTCCAGATATCCATTGCTGTAATGTTTTGTCTCAAGACGGGACCCCTGGAAATCCAGAACCTCACTTTCCCCACGGCTGTTTCATTACAATGAGGTCGCGGCCGCAAGAAACCCAACCCTGAGAACCCGTGCGCTAGGTGCACCTGAGGGGAGACCCGGAGCACCCCGAACGCAGCAGTTCCGTCCAACGGCTGCGGAAAGCCACCGCGCAGCGCGAGGAGCGAAGAAACCCAGGACACCCTGACGAAAAGCACATGGCTTATTGATGCGCGCCCCCACTGCTCTTTCCCGAGGATGCGATAAGACAGCGCCTGGCGAAAGGTCGGACGCTGATCACACCAACGACTGCCAAGGTTCATTACCAAAGCTATGCAATCTCAGAATTGGCTTCTTTGGCTCTCACTCCCTCGAGTATGGGGCGCCCGAGTTATCCGGGGTAACTCGGGTCTGGGGTAACTCGGGTTTGGATTCCCGAAAAAGGAACCCGAGTTAGCCCTGACCCGAGTTACCCCTGATGATGTGGGGCTCTGGACGCCCGAGTTATCCGGGGTAACTCGGGTCCGGGGTAACTCGGGTTCGGATTCCCGGAAAACGAACCCGAGTCAACCCTGACCCGAGTTACCCCTGATGATTCGGGGCTCTGATCTTTGGCTCTCGCTCCCTCGAGTAGGGCAGCCACTCTCTGCACTCTCCGCGGAGCCGGTTGGTGACGGCACCGGCGGCCCGGCGAGCCCCCCCGGAGGCCGACCACGGAGAGCGGCTCCCAGCCTCGGCTCTGCCCAACGCGCTGGCGGCCTCTCGCCATCGCTCGGACGTCCATTCCCTGTGTTTTTTTTCGGTTTCGTGCGTGGTTTTTTCGCCAAATGATCAAGGATGCTCCTCGATGGCTCTCGCCGAAAAAAATGCACACGTCCGAGGGATGCCAGGGCCTGAGACGACGACGACGACGACGACGACGACGACGACGACGACGACGACGACGACGACGGCGGCGACGACGACGACGACGACGACGACGTGGGACAAAAACACACACACACACACACAAAGAAACACACTGTGGGAAAACACACACGCACACACTGTGGGAAAACACACACGCACACACTGTGGAAAAACACACACACACACACTGTGGAAAAACACACGCACAGTGGGAAAACACACACACACAGTGTGTGTGTGTGTGTGTTTGTTCCCTCAGTGTGCGTGTTTTTTTTTTTGATCCCCCCCACAGTGTGTTTCTTTCCCACAGACGACGACGACGACGACGACGACGACGACGACGACGACGACGACGACGACGACGACGACGACGACGACGCGGAGAGCTGGCCGGGGCGGGGGCGGCGCTCCGCGCCGTCGGCGGGCTCGGGCGCCCGGCTCCACCTGATCCTCCTCCCCCCCTGCCGCCGCCCCTCGGAGCGGTCGCCTCGCGCTCCCGGGAGGAGGGGGGAGGGGGGAGGAGAGGGAGGAGGAGGAGGAGGAGGAGGAGGAGGAGGAGAGGAGGGGGAGGAGGGGGGAGGGGAGGAGGGGGTGGAGGAGGAGGAGGAGGAGGAGGAAGAGGAGGAGGAGGAGGATCGAGGCTCGAGGTTTCTGGTCGTGTTTGGGCTTGTCTCTATGGCCTTCCTCGCCCATTCTCGGCGCCCTCCGCCCCCTCGCCGAGGGATTTGCGGTTGATTGCTCACTTGGCTGCGCGGGAGGCCACGACCAGGGGAAGGAAGGAGGCGATAGGCGAGGACCAGGGGAAGGAGAACCAGGGCAAGGAAGGAAGGAGGCCAGGACCAGGGGAAGGAAGTAGGCCAGGACCAGGGGAAGGAAGGAGGAAGGAGGAAGGAAGGATGGCGAAACATCCCAAGGGAATGAACCCCCTCTCCAACGGAGAGGGGGGAGGAGGACGAGGAGGAGGATGAGGATGGGGAAGAGGAGGGGGTGGAGGAGGGAAGGCCGTTTCCGTCGGGGCACCTCCGTCTTCCCCTGGCGCTTTGCACTGACGACAACAAGGGTTCGCCTGCGCGAGGCGCCGTTTTTACTTCACCACCGTACTCCCTGTGTTTCATACTTTGCTCAGAGCCCTTCTGGCATTCGTCGGCCTCGAAATTGAACTGTCTGCGTCGCCTTCAACAATGCAAGTGACGCAATTAGTCAGCGCCGGTGTTCAGCTCGTTTCTGATCGTGCCAGCTTCCTCGCTGATTAGACATTGCATGTTTAAAAAATGCAGCCTTACTAGATCTCACGCCTCTGTTGCCACTATTGTATCCCATCTAGCCGTGGGGCGTCCCAGGCCATGTGCGTCGCCTCGTAGACAAGACATGCGCGGCTGGATGCGCACGCACACGTGATAACTTCGGCGCGCTGCCTTTCCAGATGGCGCTACTACGCAGACGACTTGCGCGCGTGCTGGGGTGATGGGGGCAAGTGGCAACCTCTCCTGCAGCCTTTCCCTCCTCTGCTCTTTCTACCGTCCCGTCCTCTGTTCCTGCCCCCTACCCTCCCCCTCCCCTGCTGCCCCTCCCAGCCTGGTGCGGAGACCCCTCCTGCGCCCGCTATCTGACCCAACCCTGACCCTCCTTAACCCTGCAATGCTGCATGAACGAGGGAAGGCGATGGAGAGGCGGGGATCGGGAGCGGCCAAGAGGGGGGTGTCCAAGAGGGGGGGGTGCAAATCATGACCGTCGGCATTTGCGCGGACCAGTTGGGGGGACCAGGGACGTAATGAAGCAAGAAGAGGCGCCATGAAATCTGGGGAACTATCATGGCCCCCGCCATAATATTCACCCCCCCCTAGTCATCACCCCCCTCTTTTCCGCCCCCGAGGATGGAAAGGCGGGGAGGACATCGGACACAATAAAAAACACTGCGTCTCGAACCACATCAGAACTGGGGCTCCCGCCCGCTGCCATCTGTTCCTGGTGTTCCCAGCCAGACGGGTCCGCGACGGCCCCGAGGCTCGACATGGGGCGAAGGGGCGATCAAGCCTGTCGGGATTCCGCCACGACGCCGTTGAAGGGGCCCTGGGCCACGCAAATAAATACACACAAATAAAACTATTCCCCATATTTTCTCCCATATTTTCTGGGTTTCTGTCTTCCCCCCCCCACTTCCCATATTTCCCCGTATTTTCCTGGGAGTCGGCGATTAATTGTGTCTGTGTGTTTTTCCCCTCCTGAGCCGTGCCAGGGGGAAGAGAAGGGGCAGGAGACGAAAGGGCAACGGCCGGGTCGGACGAACGGGGGGAAGTCGAGGGGAGACTGGCGACTCAGAGCTCGTAGCTGACTTCTCTGACGCCTCGTGGCGCTGGGAGGCTCCAACGCATGGAGGAAAGCGCAAAGCGGCGGGGCCGGACACAACTGCACGCGGCAGACTCCGTCCCCCCGTTTCCGATCTCCCCCTTGTGCCAGACCCGCAGGGCAACCGAGCCAGCTATCAAAGCATCTCTCGAACAACGGAGAAGGACACCACCAATAGCGAAGAGCAGACACACGTGAAACATGCAACATAAAAAAACATAGAAACATGCGAAACATGCAACACACGGGAAACACGATACTATGCGATGAGCAGAAAAGTGCAAACAGTGTGAACAGCGCGAACAGAGAAAGGAGACACATGCGAACAGTAGAACCATGCTAAACATAGACAAGTATAACCATGTAAAACAACCGAACAACTAGAGCACGTGCTAAACGTAAAAGACGTACCGCCCAACAAAAGACACACTCTTGAGACATGCCAGAACGGCTCGATACCAATCTCAACCAAAGATGGAACATGTCAAGATCCATAACTTGGGTTACAACCATTTGATGGTTTTCGCATTGTCATATATTCGGGCTTCCGTGAGGTCAGGACGACCCGAGAATCCTCTAAGATCCTCGCGAGATGGCCCACGAAGGATTCGAGGGCTCCAAGACGGCCCCAAGACGACTCAAGGAGGTACCAACGAAAACAACATAAACTCTAAGAGAGCTAGCCCAAAGACGGCACATATAGGCTTAACCAGTGTCACCATCAACCTTGCCATCATCACATCATCACCATCAACATCATGATAATATCATTATCATCCTCCCCAACATCATCCGACACAGAAATGACCACCTCCTCTTCCTTGTCGTCATCATCGCCATCACCGTGGACGTCACCATCATCAACACCACCGCCATCAACATCATCGGCATCATAGTCATCGATACTTTCACCGTCGCCATCATCACCGTCATCCTTACACACGCCAGCACGACGCTGAATGGTGATTAGAAAACGGCTGAATACATATAACGGAAACAATGATCCCGACGACGAGAGGCAAGGCACAAGAGGGCACTCCAGTCGAGATCCATGAGAAACAGGCCCCAAACTGGCGGCAAGAGTCTAAACATCCAATTGCTTTTTGAAGGATTTTGCCATGTGTGCCTCTTCCATCATCCGACCGCTCAAGACGGCCTAAGGGACCCCACAGACCCAAGAGACTCCTACGATCGCTTACGAACGCACGTGTGGCTTCCCTCCGCTCAATGTCACTCAACTTCTGCATACTGTTATCGCTGAAGAACATCACTATCACCATAAACCGTCGTACGAATGCACCTCACATATGCCCCGTCAACGTTCGTCGCGAACCTCAGAATATACGTTGGTTACCCTGACCATGTTGGCAACATGTCTTTATGTCGTCCACATTTGACCACGCAATGTGCCAGCACATGATCTGTACTTGTTGCCTGGTCCGATATTATGTGCATTAAAACTTTAGCTCGTCAGTCAGGCGCGTGGCTATTCGCTGCTGTAGCACGATCATGATGTGTGTAAACCGAAGTCTTGGGCGCATAGTGCAAACAATAAGGGCATGCTCATGTATGATAATCTATGTGTTCGAACAAATGAATGAATGACTGACATAATGAATATACAAACATGTATGTATGTATGTATATATATGCATGTGCGTTTAACACGCAAATGCAGCCCGCGCGTCTTCAATCATATGCGTCCTGCTTGGGGAAGCACTGTTCCTGTCTGCCGTACTTTGATGTTGTACGCGCTGCTGTGCTTTTTGGTGCTTGAAATCGGTTGCACAATGGACAACGCGTCACCACTTGCTCGCGCTGACGTGTAATTCCATACACGCTGCTACGTGTTTACCAAGCACGGTAACCCACTGAAGACACCATCACGACTGTAACATATTGTTGTCGCACGCCATATACTGCCTTATACTGAGACGCGTCTACCCCATCTCTGGTTCAATAGCACGATCTCTACCACATACCACACGTACTCCTTAATTCGTCGTGTTGTAGCAACTGCATCTGTGTATATATATATACGTGTATATACACATGTGTCATATGCATATATCAGAGGTGTGTGCACCAATGGGGGTTCTATTTATACACGTGGGGCGTAGTTCAATGCAAAACGATCAGGCGCACGGCGATACGCGTAGTTCGCACGCCCTACTTATGCATTATGGCAACCATGTGTCATTAGCGTGCGCGCGCGTGCATTACTTGCTGTGTTTATGTGTGCAGCACATGCGTATTGGCAGACGTTGCTCCGATCTAGCAACGCGTTGCGCCCACTTTTCACAAGCTGTGTATGAACCTCCCGTGCACGCGCAACATACCACACAACCACCCACATATACACCTATGCACATATGTATGAACTGGCTTATACACATCAACTAGAATCCATGCTCGACGGCACCATCGTCTAACAGCTGAGTTCGTGGTTGCCATACTAGGCTCAGTTTTTGTCATGCTTGTTGTTTCTGCTTGCCTGTTTGTGCAACGTGTCGTGCGTGTCACGCGCTTCATCTTCAGTGCTCGACCTTTCATTTGAAGGCCGATCAACACACGGGTTTTGCGCGAGCTGACATGGCGGCCTTACGCGGTGGGCTACGAGGGCCGCCAGCACGGCGCGCTGTGCTGGAAGCGATGGCGCTTGCGTGCGACCTTGCGCGGACAACTTGCGCGCCAATGTCGGCGACTACGGCCCTGCTTCCTTCCGTCGCTCATGCGCTCCCGGCTAGTGCTTGTGCACATGGGCTCCTACTTGTGTGCCAAAGAATTGGGCCTAAAGGGGTCGGCCTGGCCGCTCCGTGGTCGTCGTCGCCGTCCCGCCGCCGCCCGCCGTCGGGGCCCGTGGGCGGGTCAGGCGGGCACGTTGTCGCCGCCGCCGCCGCGCAGAAGATTCTTCGGGCAAGCAATATCAGAGGTGTCTCCCATCGGAATTGTCGCCTCCCCCTGGGGCACTGCAAATTCAAGATCGGATTGTGCCCCACCGTTCGTTTTAGACATGCATTCGCACCAACCCAATCAAACCGTTGACGCCGCCCCCCTCCCCATCCGTGTCACATGATATGTGCGCGCACGGCCCTCTA